TCATCAGTTTTCGAGCTCTTGCTGAAAAGCTGTCGCCCACTGCCGACAGCGTGGCAGAAGCCTTTGTACAGACGCTTACTTGTACAGTGCCTTCCCTGTAGAGGTACCATGGTGTGCCACAAGGTGGGATAGGCGTGTGGTAGGCATGTTGGCAATTATGTTGGCTTGCATCACGCAGCCTCATCAAGCATGTCAAGCGCAGTACCGCTGCATGCAAGGCCAAACAATCTGCAAAGCAACATACAACTTGCCGTTGTCGTCTTGGCAACGGGAGCTTCTGTTTGCTAAGTTTGGATAGATCTGTCTTTTCTCCAGCGGCTGGTTTGATGGGGGGGCACTACCCCGTCCTCTCCAGACTTCATGTACTCACCACCATCCCCTCCACTCAACCCCCCCCCAAAGATCTTTGCCCGCCCTTACCATCATGGCCCCCCTCCCCTCACCACCTCCTCATCATTAAACATCAAAAAGGATGAAAGTAAGATGAATAAACATGCAATGTAAATTAGATGAAACCCAATTAAAATCAGGTAAACACACAATTTGAAAGTAGGTGATTCTTATTATCTTAAACGTGCTTGAAATCTGTTTACACTTATAGAAAAGCCCAGTTAAAGTTACACACGCCCAATTGCAATTATTTAGTTCCGAAGAACACTAAGTACCAAAATCGGTTAGATTACTGAGAACGATCAATTAAATCATGTAAAGATCCGATCAGAAGGTAATTCAAAATCAACAAATCCAATTTAACTTCATTACAGTCCAGTTAAGATACTAGAAATCCAGAGAAGACTAATTAACATTCAATGCTGTGTACTGCAAGACTCAAATTCAGACTGGTTGAAACCCAAATGACATCAATTAAAGATCCAATGAAAATTCGTGGAACATCCAGTTAAAGTGGGGTGCTCCCCCCTCATCAGGGAAACCATTGGTGATTCAACACGTTTTGCCGTGAAAGCTGTTTGTTGTGGAGTTGTGGGGGCCTGCAGAAAGAAACTGATTGGAGATTTTCGGATAGAGATCACCGTCGAGACCCATACTTCTATGCTACTTCTTCTTTCTGGGTGGTGAATTCATACGCGAGCCTGCCGTCTCAAGTCAACATAACAGTTGTCAATTCTCGGTTTTCGATTGCCATTCCGTCCATGGCAACCAGTGCGCCGCTTCTGGCCAAGGAGGGCAAGGCTGGCTACCGAGTTTTGGGGCTCCTCGCATGTCCCTGACCCCTTCCCAAAAACACGTCAGTATGCTTCAATGCTTGACTCTGCCAGGGCCACTCCAAGGCCTCGATCTTCTACGGTGCAGATGAGTACCTTGAGGAGCTGAAGCGCAAGTACGAAGCCGGACTCAGACTGGGAAGGTTTTGTTTGTAGTAGCTTCGAACTCAGGATTGCTCAGAAACTGTTGAGCGACTTTGCTAGCAGTCTTCGAACCTTTTTTGCACCAGGAAAATGACCACGAGATTGCTGCTTTGAAGAATGCCCTTCCAGGCGAAGGGGACCCCAACGCAGCAGGCGTTGCACCCAGCAACGACAAGATGCTCTCAGTCCAGAAGAACAACGAGAACCGGAGTCTGAAGACCAACC